CCTAATTAAATACAGTTTAAAGTAGTATACCTAGTAATAATTAAGTATGGTATAAATATCGAATTTAATCGAATCTACATATGACATAACCTTAAAATGCTTACGTAATTTAATATTTTCTTTAAACCACTACTTAAGTTTCTAATGATATTTTTCCTACGCAATATACACCTGATTCCCTATTGTTGTACACTTATTCCAATAAGACGCAATGAAAAAAACTTAGCCCAACTCCCAAAGTAAAATGACCATTCTCCTTTCAGCCCGATCTGTCCAGTGGTTTGGGCTGTGCGTTGATAGATCACTATGTCAGTCAGTCACCTTTGAGTTTTATATATACTATAGATAATAAGTTTTGCTTTAGCTTAAATAATTGGTTTCTGATACGTACATATGTATATGTAGGAAGTCACTGACCCCTGTCTCGCAGGTGATGCCTTCATGCCTTGCATTAAGGTCAAGGACTTCATATCGAACTTATATGTATACCTTTTTACTCTTATTAATAAACTAGGAATAAATTTAGACTAGTTACGCTTGTTTTGTTCATATCACTCAAGTGCCATTTGTAATGCAATGAACATAGACAAATCTTGGGTATATGTGTTCTGTGGACAAACCATAGAGTAACGAATCCAAGCTAATGCCTCATTTTTTATTAATAAGGGGGTTTATGTGTGATAAGGTAAGTTAAGTAAAAACTAGTTCACCCCATCTATTGTAAAGTGTGAATGGAATCCAGTTACGAATATCAACCATCATCTTGTCGAATGGAAGTGAAAAAATAAATTAATATCATTACAAAGTTATTAAAAAACCGCGAGAGGAATTTCTTACGACGGGTTCGACAACGTCCGAGTAATGCTTCTGGTTTAACAAGTGTCCACAGGCTGCGGTACCCACGTATTTGTACCCACTGACATGGGACTGGTATAAAAAGTTTGCTATTGAAGCTTAAAAATTATGCTGTGCTTTTATCATTACCCAGTAAATATTTTTAAAACTCCTTCATGACGATTTATGAATAAACATACATATTACCTTTATGATGCAAATAAATATGTTATCTTGTTCCATGCACATCACAATTAATAATAATTATTATTAATAATAATGTATACTAGACCGTACTTAATATTATTATGTGAAAGTCCAGTTTGTATGTTTCAATCACGCAAATACTACTAAACGGGCTTTACATGAAATTGGTTCGTATATAGTATATGACGAATATTTTATATTTATAATTTTTTATTATGTAACTGTTTGATGTTTAAATCTAAAGAAAATATAACTAGAAAAAAATCCACGCGGTCCAGGCAGCAGACGGGACTCGAACCAGCACCATTCGCAATCCGGGCGAACGGACTGACCAATTATGCTACCGCATGCGTAGAGATGGCGCTGCCTTGCAGCTTAAGAATGGCTAGAAGAATTTCGACGCGGTCCGTGAAGGCCGCGGTAGCATAATTGGTCAGTGCATTCGCCCGGATTGCGAAGGGTGCAGGATCGAGTCCCGTCTGCTGCCTGGTCCGCGTGGAATTTTTTCTAGTTATATTTTCTTTAGAATATTTTATATTCCAAAAAAATGTTAGGTTCATCGTGGGATTATCAAAAAACTAATGTAACCGCGAACGAAGTCGCGGGTGGCCCCTAGTATATAAATATTTTCTTTGGAGATTTTAAATGCTAGATGTATTGTTTTGATATAGTCAGGCATGCGACGGGAAACGATGCACAATTACTTTTAATACTTTAGCTGAGGTTACAACCGTCTTCACAATATTTTCCACTTGCTTCGATTGTCTTTAAGCAATAATTTGCACCAACTAAATACCACTCGTAAAAATAATTGCAGTTTCCAACTGGAAAGTAAGTGCCTAGTTTTATATTTAAACATCTCGTTTAACTATCGGTTGAACCTTCGCCATTTGTAGGTACAATATTATAGTCACATAAAACACGTAATTTATTGCTGAAAAGTTTAACATTCACGATACTTGCAGTTGCACGGAAATAAAATAAAATTTCACATCTTAAAATCACCTTGTTGATAGACCAATATATGTATTTATTTACTAGTATTTAAAGGAACATATCGGTTTAAGCCAAAAGACCACAGGCGCGGTTAAAATAGTATGCAATTTACTCTCTTTTGGTGCCACACACCCCGCAGTGAACCAGTCATTTAAGCGTGCATCGTTTCAATAAAGCCTTTTCAGGTTGAAGAAATATGAGCAATAATGTTCCATGTAAATCCCACGTCTTCAGAATTCCATGCATAATAATAGCCTAATACAAAACTCTGACTTGTATGTTACTTAGACAATACGAGTAGACAAAGAGGGGTAGAATCTTTGCGAGAATAGCAGTATTTCTCGAGCGGAACTTAGGGATGTCGAAAGTTGAAAAAAATATCGATATATCAATCTTTTAAAAAATATCAATATCGGCTTCGATATATCGCGAAAAAAACATCGATATATCGGACCATTTTCAATACAGTAGCTCACGAAATATGACACGCGGAATAATAATGCAACGAAAATTATCTCCCTAAAAATAGACCCTATTTTCGAATGATGACATAGACAATACTAAATACAGCACAGATCACAGATATGTTGTATATCATTAATCTGAGATCCAGTTACGATTTTTTTAGATACGAATTTAGTTAGGTCGTGATATGCCGCTCATAATTAAAAAAATATCGTTTTTGATACGAATTTCGATATTGGTTATTTTGTATCGATGTATCGATATATCGAATCAAAATATATCGGCAAAAAATATCGATATATCGAACAAAAAATATCGATATATCCATACATCGATATATTTTCAACAAGCCTAGAGGAACTTACTATTATTATCGTTGTGTAAGAAAATACATTGGGTTCGATTCAATTGTCGTGTAAAATACATAAATCGGGAACAGAATAGGTGTGTAAGTTTTCTCTGCCTAGAGGACAACTACTCAATACATTTCAGTAAGCAAAAATATTGTAATCGATTTATTTAGTCTGAGGTATCGATTCTGGCACAATTCTCTAAATCTAAACTTAAATTCGACAACAGTGTATCCTTGTCATTCTCTATACAGAATGAAAAGGAGAGACTGATGTTAAATTTAGTTTTAAGTTTAGAGAATCACGCCAGAATCGACACCATTGTTCCCTACATTAAAAAAAAACAGCTTAACACTTATTAACTCATCTATCTTTCGTTGTTGTTTGATTTTTTATTTTAAAAATGTATATATCACCTGCATTCTTTGTTTAATTATATTAACGACTTTTGTTTGCTTTTTGTTATTTAATAAAATCAGAATATTTTTGTAAAGGATGGCTTATGCTCCTAATCAGATTACACATTTTTTGCTTTCCGTGACAGCCTGTTGTTGGGGCAACACCAAATTATTTAAGAAAAGATATGTATTTTTAGCATGTCAGGTGTATGTTCTTGTTGGTTGTCCAAATAAATAAGTAAAAATAAAACTAAATTATGTCATATTGTCATAAATTACATCATGTCATACATTAATGATTCATCGTTGTAATTCGATCACCTATTGTCAGGTGGGTTGTATACTTGACGTTGTTTTAATCAATGGAAAAAGAGATTTTTGACATTAACTGTAAATAACAAGGTATCATCAGAAGAGCCTTTGTACGGGGAAGGCACAAATCATAAATTTTAAGCGGCCGCATTGCATTACTTTACCGCACTCTCAGACAGCAATTAACTAACGTGTTAGATAAAACTACATATACGATGTTCTAAACTATATTGAAATAAAAGATCTACACGCAAATTAATTGAATGAACTATTTTTATTTGCCATATGTGAAGGTAAATAAATATAAATATTTCCAACACTCACACCAATTAGCCTAGCCCCAAACTAAGCACTATAAGGCTTGTGTTATGGGATACTAGGGTAACGGATAGAATACATATACTGTACATATATAAGTATATTTATATAGAAATACATGTTAAACATCCATGACTGGAGTACAAATGCTCGTATTCATCACACAAACATCTGCCCCCACCGGGATTCGAACCCGGGATCTCTCGAGTCGGCGACACCATGAAACCCGGCGTTCTAACCACTCGGCCACGGAGGTGGCGTTATTCAATATCTTCTACCATCCAGAATAGAATTGCAGTCAAACTTAAATTTAAAAAATATTCCATTCCTGTATTTGCCAGATCTCCGCGAGATGAATTGATGGGATTTAAATCAGCATTACGAAATGGCCGGTGGCAGCTTGTAAATATCTGATCTTCAAGATCATTTGCCTAACTTTCTATATTAGGCCAGTCATTAAAGCCTTAAACCCAGAAATAATTGGTAACTTGCTGAAATTTTGAGGGTTTTACAAAAAAGAAGGTAAAATAACTTACCGGGTGCGTTTGCAGCTTTCTGGGGTGTACGGAAAGGGTTGAAAAGGGGTGAAAAGTGTTTATTGTTAATAATATTGCCAATCAAAATTATTAACACGCTGCAAATTTCGAATTAGGTTGTTCTTATCAATTTGTAACATCTATTAAATTTGCAGCGTTTTGCAACATACGGAGCATTATAAACAATGTTCCGTATGTTGCCTACCTAATTACAAATTTGCAGCGTGTTACTAATTTTTTTACCCTTGATATTAACAAATTTCATTGTTTTTTTAATAATAAACAATGTTTCGTATATTGCAAAACGCTGCAAATTTAATACACGTTACAAAACGGTAAAAACAATATTATACTAAATTTGCAGCGTGTTACTAATTTTTTTGGCAATTTTATTAACAAAAATCACTTTTCACCCCTTTTCAACCCTTTCCGTACACCCCAGAACGCTGCAAAATCACCCGGTAAGTTTTTTTACCTTCTTTCGAAAACCCTCAAAATTTCAGCAAGTTACTAATTACTTTCGGGTTTAAGGCTTTAATGACTGGCCTATATACATATATATATGTATTTGTAATTGCTTCCAGGTTCGGCCGAAAGACGGCAGCGGTGTTCGCGGGCACTATGGGAGCAGTACTAGGACTTACGAAGAGCTTTGCCACCTCCTTCTGGCTATACGTGTTCCTTGAAGCCCTGGAGGCAGCTATTGGAGACGCACTATCGCCTATGTTTATGTTAAGTTAGTATTTAAGTAAAAAAATAGTATTCGGTGAAGGTATAAGTTTAAGGGTTAAAAGTTTAAAAGCTCTGTTTACGACATTTTTATCTAACAACTATCCCTGTTTCATATTTCAGGAAATTATAGAGTATTTTAGCTACATATATGAGTCAGTTGTAAAAAGCATTTTATAATTTCATTTCCCGCATAGAATAGTAAATATAATCAGTCTGTCCTGGCGTCTGTACTAGGAAACTAATAGTGTATTACAAATTACCAATATAAATTTCCACTCCCAAATCTTCTATACTCGATCGAATAGACGAAAACAAAAGAAAAACTTACAGGGACTTCAAATGGACTTCATCGATGTCCAAATTAGGTCCCTCCAGAATATAGAAGAATATAAATAACTCTGTTTGTATTTATACTGTGTGACACAGCAATCAAAATGAAGGTGAACAATTAATGTATAATTTCACATTATGTAATGAAAGGTGACTTCATGAATCATATCTGAAGTCATTTTTCAACTTGACGACTCTGTAAATGATGAAACAGGGAGAGAAAAACAGCCCTTGCTGAGTTTCTTGCCGGTTCTTCTCAGTACAAGGTCTCCCACCGTAGATTTACGAACCGATGGCGTAGCTTCTAGACGTTCATATGTGCTTGTAACAGCCTAAACTGAATAAATTATTTTGATTATGATTATTATATCAGCGTTGCAGCGGCAATCCATTTTTGCCGTTGCAACATTATGCTGAGGTGGGGCCTAGTTGACGATGTACCTTTTGTTTTATGTTTGTTGTGTATTTATTGTAATTGTTAATGTATGTCGTCAATAAATGTTTTTCTTTCTCTCTTTCAAATGTTTGTTAAATAATGTATCATGTTTCAGGTATTGAAATAGTGGAAAAGAAACGAGCAGTATTAATACAGATGATACTGCTAAACTGCTACACGGGCGGGCTTATAGTGATGCCATTCATAGCTTGGGCACTTCCGTACTGGCGGCACTTCTTGAGAGCCATATATGCGCCCACTTTAATAATCCTCAGCTACTCTCTATTCCTGGACGAGAGCATCCGCTGGCTCTTCAGCAAAGGCAAAAGAGAAGAAGGGATCAAGCTGATAGAAAAAATAGCAAAGAAAAACGGAGTCACAATTGACAAAATGACATTGCACAGACTTGAATATACGAATAAGGATACAACTGAGAACTTTAGTGATAAGGAATTGTTGCTTAAGACTTTCAGGTCGAAGATTATGATGCAGAGGTTTTTGGTCTGCATGGTATGGTGGTTCACGATAACTCTGATAAACTACGGCATGATGATCAGCGCCGTGTTCATCGACGGGAACAAATACATCAACTTTGCGCTGCTGATGTTGATGGACATTCCGTCCAACATATTCTATTGGCTGGCGCTGTCCAAGTACAAGAGGAAGATACCGTTGGTGACGTCGTTCCTGATCGGAGGAGTGTTCTGCGTAGTCCAACCTTTCGTGTCTAAAGGTAATTCTTAATTGTATATCAATAAAATGCAAAAAATTGGATAATTTACCAACGTCGGAAATTACTATTTAATATTTTGTTATTTGAAAATTCCTAGAGAAACATTTAGATAAAATCTTCACACCTGTCAACGTTCTTCCCGTAACGTACAGCAATACTATAAAAGTTTTATGTTATGATTTCGGTTCAGTTTTTTCTAACCTATTTCCTCAGAACAAATATTTCCACCATTCAGTCATCTGGGAGAAAATCGTTATTGCCTACATCCCATAACTCAATAACGCTGTAATTTATTTATGTCAACAACGTATTTGCCCATTATGACTCATAATGTGCTATTTCAATGTGGTATTGCTGTAGTGTATGAGACACCGACACCCTTATATACATTGCATTTACTTATAATAAAGACCAGTCAGAACGCATAACTTATTTATTCGGACGTCTCCAAGGCCACAAATTACAGTGCGTTCTTCTATAAGATGAGGGTTTCTTATCTAGACCTCTCATTCATCATCATCATCATCAGCCTATTAATATCCCTACTATTGGGGCTCAGGCCTTCCCTATGGATGGAATAGGGAGCTTCAGTCATGACCCACCACGCGGACCCAGTGCGGATTGGCGCGTTCTAACAACTGCAGATGCAGCCAGGACCAACGACTTAACGTGCCTACCGAAACACGGAGGAACTCTAGATAGAAGATTTTTGGTCACCCATCCAATGATCGACCACTGCGAAAGTTGCTTAACTTCAACGATCGCAGGCGAACCCGGTAACCACCCGCGCCATGCAGCTCCTCGATCTCTCTTGAATTTTTTACGTGTTTTTCTAAGAGCATTAATTGATATCTTTCTGTCCATATCCAGGATACGCGTGGCTCCGCCTGGCGCTGATGCTAGCATTCGAGACGCTGGCGACGTTCTCGTACAACATCGTGTACATGTACACGTCGGAGCTGTTCCCCACCTACACGCGCAACTCCGTGCACTCGCTCTGCTCCGCCGTCGGCCGCCTCGGGTCGCTGCTGGCGCCGCAGATGCCGCTGCTGGTCTGATATTACATATTCATCATATTCAGCCTATAATATCCCCACTGCAGGGGCACAGGCCTTCTCTATATGAAGAAATTGGGCCAGGGATCACTACACAGGCTCAGTGCGAATTGGTGGATGCTAACCACTGCAGATGCAGCCGGCACTATCATCATCAGTCTATTATTGTCCCCACTGCTGTGGCACAGGCCTTCCCTATTCGGAGAGATTGGGCCACGCATCACTACGCAATCTCAGTGCGAATTGGTGGGTGCTAAACGACTGCAGATGCAGCCGGCACCATCATCATCAGTCTATTATTGTCCCCACTGCTGTGGCACAGGCCATCACTATTCGAAGAGATTGGGCCACGAATCACTACGCAATCTCAGTGTGAATTGGTGGGTGCTAACGACTGCAGATGCAGCCGGAACCATCATCATCAGTCTATTATTGTCCCCACTGCTGTGGCACAGGCCATCACTATTCGAAGAGATTGGGCCACGAATCACTATGCAATCTCAGTGCGAATTGGTGGGTGCTAACGACTGCAGATGCAGCCGGTACCATCATCATCTGGCTATTGTTGTACCCACTGCTGTGGCACAGGCTTTTCCAATGGATGGCATAGCGAGAATGGGCTATCACAAGGGTTCTAAGGACAGCAGATGCAACCTAGAGCAACGACTAAACGTGCCTTCCAACGCACGAAAAAGCTGAACATAATAATATGTAGTCACCCTTCCGATGACCAGCCAATGTGAAAGTAGCATAACTTTGAGGATCGCAGACCAAATACGCTAGCGACCTACGCCATCGAAATCCTCGACTATTTCCTTCTTTATTTTTCACTTACTTCTCGTTTATTCTTGATTTTAGATATGTTCCTGATATCATCCTAGGTCTTTTTTAAAGCAGACTTTGCGAACAACTTCACTTTACCTGATGTTGAGTGTTACAATATTTGGTGAGTGCATATTATTATGAAGACATTAGGTGCTAACAATAGGGCTCATCTATACCTCGTATTCATTTGATTCCTATTTCTATGTTATTCTATCGATTTCCATCCCATTTCAGAACAGAGACAAGAGTAATAAGCGTAGCTTTTGATAGCTTGTATCTTTATCAATCGTCAGGTTGAATGCGTCAATAAGGTTGTATAGAATCAATTATATAATTTTTTTTATTAATTGATTAGACGACATCGTCATACACAGCCTGAGTATCACGCACCTTATCTATGTAATTTGAAGGAGCTCGATGACGCAAGTGGTCAGCGCGTTCGGTTGTGATCGCTGCAGTTAAGCACTTTTTGCAGGGGTCAGTCATTGGATGGGTGGCCAAAAATTTTACTATCTCTCCCTCCTCCGTGTTTCGGAAGGCACGTTAAGCCGTTGGCCCCGGTCGCATCTGCAGTCGTTAGCACCCGCCAATCCACACTGAGCCCTCGTATGGGGGGTCAAAACCCAATTTTCCTATTCCATCCATAGGGAAGGCCTATGCCGCAGCGGTGGGGGCATTAATAGGCTGATGATGAATCTATGTTATCTATATGGACGAGATTATTATCGTCGCATATTATTTCAGATTTCGTATTGGTCGGGTCTGCCGCCTCTGATCTTCGGCGTGACGTCACTCGCGTCCGGAGCACTTGCGCTGTTACTACCTGAAACTGCGCGCACACCGCTACCTGATACTGTTGCTGACGCTGAAAGAATCGGTAGACCACCTGTGCCTAGTGATGACTATCTACCACTAACACAGATCAATGATGCTAAGAACAATTCGAAAGACAATGAGTGCAACGGGACTGAATAAAACCATTTCTTATAGAGTTTAGTGACAATAAAGTTGGACTCGAACGAAATGCAATCAGTACAACATGGCGGAATAACGAAGACGTGCTGTACCTAGTGATACCTTAACCCAGTGTCTATAAAGATGATTTAATTGACAGTGATAATAAAAGTGTATCGAAAGACAGCGAGTGTGACGGGGCTGAAAAATGAGGATCCATTTGCTACTACAATCCAGTGATAATAAAAGTGTGATAATGAAAACAACTCGAAAGATAATGATTTTAACATGGCTGAATAATGATGACGTACGCCTAACGGTGACTACCCACTACTTACCATAACCCAGTGCCAATAGAAGCTACTCGAAGAATAATGAGTATTGATGACTGTTGCTTCCTGAAATTGCGCGCACGCCGCTACCTGATACTGTTGCTGATGCTGAATGGATCGGGAGACCGCCTGTGCCTAGTGATGATTATCTACCACCAACATAGACCCAAATGCACGCCACTCAGATCGATCTTGGGCTACTAGCATCCAGCTCCTGCCAGCCACCTTGTGCAAATCGTCACTCCATCGTGCATGAGGACGTCCTACACTACGTTTGCCTAGACGCGGTCTCCACTCCAGAACTCGTCTACCCCAACGGTAGATGCATTTGGAGAGGCCTTTGTCCAGCAGTGGACTAAGATAGTCTGTTGATGATGATGATGATGAACATAGACCCTTGATGCTAAGAACAGCTCTAAAAACAATGATTGCAACGGGGTCGAATAATTATGTACGCCTTGTTTATCTACTGTTACTAAATGCTAATGATCATAAAAACGTTTACTTATAGTTTTTCCGGGCGATTTCCGCACTTAGTCGTATTTATTTGACCAGTGTGCGTGTCTCGAAGCATTGCCGTTTACTCCAGCTAGTAAAATTAGTCAAGAAGGAAAGCAGCCTTGGCTGACTGCTGCAAGCTTCCGGAAGCGATTCTGGCGACTGGAGAAGCACGACTTCTCCGCCCTCATTGGTCGTCCACACTCCTGCATTCATGCGACATGCTGTGGCGTTTCTTCTGCCTTCATGCATCCTCTGCATAGGGGGTTGTCTGTTACTCCTATTGTATATAGGTGTTTCTTTAGAGAACAATGACCAGTCAGGGTTCCTATAATCTTGCGAAGTTTGTCTCTAAATGGTCTGGTAAGTGTGCAGGCAAGTCTACTGTTTGCCGCCAGAACTGCGTTTTTTGTTTGCCGGCATCCTTCACCTGTTTTCCGCTCTGTCAAGTGTGATGTAAAAAATATGAAAAACTTTTTAAAGAACAGTAAATACAACTTAGTTGATCTAGGAACCGTGGAATGGAATTACTAATTACACAGTCTAGTGACAATAAAGGGGACTTGAAGTACAATGAGTGTAACGTGGCTGAATAATTAGAACGTGCCCTACCTAGTGACGACTAGGTAGTCGTCACTAGGTAGGGCAAGAGTCGTCGTAGGTAGAGATAGGTATCTACTGATACTGGAGATACCAGAACCAAGTGCCATACAAGTGAATCAAAGGTCAATGCGCGCTGATCTTTGGCTTGACGTCGCATTTGCCGCTGTCAGATACCAACGCCGAAGCTGAAAGAATCAGGAAATCACCTCTGACTCGCAGAAGAAGAATTAAGACAACGTGGCTAAATGAAGACCTTTTTTTATGCAAAATAAGCAATGCGTCTGACCACAATCTCACCTGATGGAAAGCGATGATGAGGCCTAGGATGGTACACGCCTGCCTAGAAGAAATGATACCTGTGATGAAATGATACTTACACAGTCCAGTGACTACAAAAAAGACTCAAAAGATAATCCGCCCTATTACAAAACGTTGACTAAAGTTAAACCTGATTGAAAAGTGATACTGTCACTTTTGTTTGCTAAAGAGAAGACAGAGACAGCGTCAAGTTCAAATGTGACCAAATAATGAGAAACACTGTGCCAGGAGATGATTATCTACTACTAGATTAGATCAGTGATAATACAAACAACTCTAAAGTAAATAAGTGCAACGTGACTGAATAATAAGAGCTGATGTCTCTTAAGTATTTGAAACTGCTGTACCAGTCTTCTTCGTCTCTAAACTACAGCGTGTCGTAGGTAACTACTAAATTCCTAAGATTTTCCTTCTTTCTCGTTCTACTACCCTAACACAACGAGAACGAACATAATCTTTATACTCTCAATACAAGATATATAAGAACTGTGCGGCTTAAAACATGGTTGCGCGATGTGATGCTTTAGCTGGCGGCAATTGTTTGAACTTAGAATTGGCACTTATAAGTAGTGCTTGTGATTATAACTACAAAAGATAATATATTAGTCTGTGTTCAGTAAGTTAAAATAATAATAGTATTAAATTATAAACTGTGGACTACCCTGAACTGGGCTGTGTTGTGTGAATATGAACATGATAACTTTGTTTTCATTTTATTCGTATTAATAATTGGTACTAAATAAAGTTTAATTGAAAAGTTTACTTCTGTATTTTTATTTTTAATGAAGTGTACTAAAAGGCTTTCGTTGTTGGTTTTGCATTAAATTATTTAGAAATGTTCCTAAAAAGCTTAACAGTAATTGCTATCTACGTGAAGTTATAATTTTCTGTAATAAAGGTTCAAATTGTATTAACATTAAAAGCTTAATTCAATGTCAGCTTAAAGTCGGGTGGCTACCTCGTGTCTTATTTATAAGACAGTCAGTCAGTATTTTAAAATGAAACACTGAACTTACAGATAATCCAACGATTTAATTTAAAAATTGTCATGTGACGAGGAACTTTTTATCATTTATTTTTCTTATTATCAAGAACAAGTAGTTGGTAAATGAAACAACAGTCATAATATCATGAGAGTTTTGTAAAAACATCGAACATTTATTTAAATGGATAAGAGTTTCATGGTTCATGAGCATCCTTTTTGTTAAACAGAGACATTATATCCCATCAAAAACTTATTCATGTCTAATGTTGCCATGACCGCTATGAAAAAGTTATCAGATGTCATATAGAGCCAAGCTTCTAATTCTACACGCCCTGAATCTTATTCGCTACAGTCACATGGGCAGAAGGTGAAAAATGGAACCAGGTTCATTACATTTCTCTTAAACAATAGTTATTGTAGGAATGAAACGGCCTAGCCGAATTTAGGTAGACATCAATCAGTAAGGTATAAATATTATAAAGTTGATAATGGTATGAAACATCTTGATTTTAAAAACTTTCTTAGAGAAGAACCAAAAAGAACATTACGGTCAAATCTGAAAAGCGAGAATTTCCTACTAAATAATACAGAGATATCAAATTGCACTGAAATGGCACGTTATAAAATACAAGTGTAATTGAAAATCATAAATATTTACTTAACAATAAAAATTACAGAAATAAAAATGATTCAAACTGTGAAGGAAGGTAATAAAAAGTCAATTTTAATAAGAAATTAATTTGTATCCAAGCGATATTAATAACGACGGGTAGATGAGGGCTTATTACAGGCGAGGCCGAGATGGACATTACAATATGAGATTAACAACGACTTTATTACAAGGTCATAACAGCTATATTCGCAGTCCAAGTAACCACTACCCACTGTGCACACTTGATGGTTTGAGTGTGAAGGAGTTGGGCCATAAAACGGGAGAGTAAGCACAGGTAATAGTTCACTACATCGAACCCGCGGGTAATAAAAACAGTCGATTAAAACGCAACTCCGATGTGGCAATTATAATAAAATAAACCCTCAGTCGTATAGAATACATCGCACCGTGACTGCACAAATTACAATCTCGATTTCAATGGAAATAATATGTACGTCTCTGCTTTTATAGACTTTTCTCAAATCAAATTTTGCGCGATTATGCGATGCTTCACTCGGCTCGTATCATTGAGTGAAGCTCTCGGCTTTTGTGAGTGAATCCAACTCTTGTCTGGTTTTCAACTTCGCTCGAGTTCACCCATTGTCGGGTATAGGCCTCTACATGGTTTCTCGATGCGACCCGATTTCTCGCAAAGCGCATCTAGGTCTTATCCTTCTATCTTAGTGATGTCTTCAGTCAGCGCATAGGTTCCCTTCGCACTTTTCTTCGGCCAGTTCTTGGTCTCCACTCGGCGTCGTCTTGCCTGCTCGACTGACCCGCCCATCACCATTCCCACCAGATCATCAATAGGCTGATATCGGTCATTTAGTGCGCTCTCTGATTTCCAGGTTAGGGGATACGATCTGAAATCGAGATATCCAGCATTGTACATTCCATTGATCGTTGAGTTAACTGAAGTTTGCACACTAGCTAACTGGTTTTTAACAAACCTACCTAATCCACACTAATAGTCATACGTCATGTTTGTGAACGACTGATGCCAGTAATAAGTCTACTCTGCCAACAAGCGGCGACTCATAACTAGACCCCGCAGATACGCCTGGAGGGTGAGGGGTAGATCGGGGAGTTGGTTTACCTGGTAGGTATGGAAGCTGGTCGGCTGGCTAGCCGCTCGGACTGCGGTCTATGAGACTAGTCAGGTGATGCTGTGAACGGAGAAGCTCACGATCGGCTTAAGCGGGTGCGGACCGGGCTACTTATCGGAGGCGGGGTGGTTTGACGTATACCACACTTGTGTGAGTGCACGTCAAAGTATACCCGCACCGACTAGCGGCCCTCGAACTTATCGCCGCTAGCCGAATGCACCACGCAATTTCCCGCATCGCGAGGGTTTGTTAACAGCAAACCAACGTGGCGTTGCTCATTGTCGTGGATATAATGCATTTTTTCTCCCCGTCATCGAAAATCAAATAAAAAATAAAGATCTACTCTGCCAAATCATTGATTTTTACTAACTCTCGCAGTCACCAACTAGTATTGTATATGGTCAATGATCAATAAATCACTTGGCGTCCTATTCGTTCTGTTTGTCCGGCGATATGTCTGCGCGGGCGCACACACACACTCGGTCGGCCACCAATATTTGCTCTACAGCAATTACACGGACGCTTTCCGCCGTTGACAGCAACAAAACCAATATTTATGGATATTTTAGTTGAGTTAGAAACTCGTCAAGAGCACCATACGTTTCGCCGCGCCATATTTTCAT